GGTTTCAAAGTCTTTCTTTGGAATTGTAAATCCAAGCTTCACTTCTTTTCTTATGTTAGGAATAAAGTAGATTCTTTTCTTTTTAAGATATTTGTATATACTCTTAATAATTATTGACTCAAAATTATGCCAGGCCTTATCAAGTTCATGAAAATCATTTACTACTCTTGATCAGAAAGATTGAGAATCAATCTTTAGAAACTTGCTTTCTATCCAGAATTTGAATTTCTTTCATTGTTCAACTGTAGAATTTACTGGGTCAGGTATTTTCTTGTTTTTCAATCTATGTTGTTCTTGAGCTTAATTTTTAAGTAAATTGTTTGTTATCATTCTTGCCAATAATAAAATATGATCATTATCCAATAACATTTTCATTGAAATATTTTTAAATTCATTTATATTGTTTAAATTGATTTCTGGTAATGATCAGATATAGTCAATTCTACTATATGATGTATTGTTTATCCATATGAATATAGTACTTTCCTCTTTCCAGGAGTTTTGAACATCTATATAGTTCCAGTCTTCTAGAAAATTGAAAAAACCTATTTCAACTTTTCTGTATCTAGGTGTTGTTTTATCAGAGAGTGGCCAATCTGTTAATTAATTGATAATTGCATTAAAATCTCCCATGATTGTGATTTTAAAGTGATTTCTTTGTTTGTCTAGATTTTATTTTGAAGTAGTTGTTGTAGCCATCTACTTACAGTTTTTTCAGATAGCAGATATACTTGATAGATATAGAGTTTATATATTGTTGATAAAAAGTTGGCTCCTATTATATAGCCTTCTATTTTTTCTATAGATTCTAGCATTTTTCAATGCTCTTGTTAATAAGAAGTCCCACTTCAGATCCTCTGGATTTTTCATCATTGCTACTGTGGAAAAACTTGTGTATTTGTTGTGAAGTAAAGGTGAACTCTGCTACTTCATTTGTTAGTTTGATTTTACAGATGCCTAGAATATCTATATCAATTTTTTGTAAGAGTTTGTATAGCCTTTGTTGATCCAGGCTAATATCGATCCCTCTGATATTGTGTGTTCCAACTGAAATTGTATTGACTAGTAAAGAGTTATCTATAGTATATTTGTTATATAGTGTATATTCTTTTTCAATTCTATTGATAGTATTCTTTTTTAGTGTACTTATAAAGTCATTCGTGATGTATTATGTATTATATAAGGAGAGGTTAAGTTGATGTCTGCTGTTTCCTTTGGAATTGCACCTTTTCTCCAGGATGAGCTTGAATCTTCTTGTGAATCAAACTCTCTCCTGGTATATATTAATTGAACTGGTGCTAATTTTAGGAGCGATTATTTCATCACTTTTCTCTTATTCTATTCTGACTGTCTGTTTTTTTTTAAATTAGGTTTTATTCTATGATTTAGTTATTTAAGATTGTTTTTAATCTGATAAAGGGGATCTTGATCCCTTTCACTTTTAGGATAGGGATTTTTAGATCTATCATGCTAACATCTTCTATGACAATGTTTTATTGGCTCCCTGTTACTATTAGTGACAAAACGTTGTAGAGTTTCTATTGTTCTAGTAATATATTTATTGCCTTGAAAATTACATCTTTTTCTTTTTTTCCTCCTTTCTGGATCTATTCTTTTTTTAGAATCTCTTTCTATTTCTACTTCGTCCTTAGATGTTGTATACCAATTGACCCTAGTATTGTTTCTGATATCAGTTTGACTCAATTGTCTTAAATAAAGTTTACCATGTATTATTTTGAAGTAAACTTTCTCTTTATTATCTTCACTACTTTCTGTATAAGTTAATTCTTTATGTTGTACTATTTATTTTTCAAAGTGCTCTCTAGCACTCTTGCTAATATAATTTTGTCTTTCTTGAGAAAGACTTTATTCTTGTTTAAAATGTTCTTTGGCACTTCAGATAAGTTTATGATTGTAAATAAATATATACTATTTTAAAGCATTATTCAAATCTTGTACTAATAAGAAGCAAATTATTGCATAGCCTCTTCTCTTTAGTATATGTGGATTTTTAGGGATGTAACATGATTTGACTTTGATATATTTGACTGCTCATGTGATTAAATTAGTAGTAGTGTTATGTATTCTGTATAGTCATAATAATTGTGAATTATGTAGTTTGATAATTCTATTAATTTTATTATAATTAGGCTCATATTGAGTAAAGATAGCTCTAATAGTTTCTGTATTGATATAAATTATTCATTTTTCCTCAAGGTTAATATATTCCTTATAAAGAGTAATATGGGCCTTGATTAATTATTGTGATTGTAAATAATTATAAATATGAATGTTTGTTGTATGTTCATATTTATTAAAAGCAGATTTGATTTTATGACATAAGTGATTTCAATCAATATCTATAAGTATAATCACCAGTAAGATTTTTTCTTCATCTTTTGTTTGCTAAAAAACTTTTTTAATTAATAGTTGAATAGAGTTTAACTATTTCTTTATATCTATAGGTAGATTAATAAAGTTTTTTTTCTCTTTTTTGTTAATCTTTTCGAGACATTATAATGCATCTTCTTCCTCTTTGCAACAGAATATTATCCATGTATTGCCATTGATAAATTCTTTTTTGAAGGGTTAAAAATCTTTTGGCAAGTCTAATGTATTTTACAAATATGCTATTTGTTTTGTTTTGGTTTTCTCTAGAAGCCTGAAAGTAAATATATCCATTTTATATTTACCATTCATCTTGATATAAAAAGGATTAATACTGGATGTCTTTGGTTTATTTCTTATCTTATATGTATATTACTCAGTTATATTGTCTCCTTTAATCTTTTTACTGATAACTTCTATTTTGATTATATCTTCAAGCTCCTTATCTTTCATTTCAATTTTAGTAATATTTGGAATTTTGATTATTATGGTTATTTAAACTTCCATGACAGTTGTCTTATCTAATAAGCTGTATATAGAAAGATTGTTTTCAGGTATTGTTTGACTTGACATAATATTTTGCGAAAAGTATTATGCTTGCTCAGTTTGTTTTATTATATTCAAGTATTTATCCTCTAAAAATAGAACTAGAAGATCTTCTTCTTTTCCTTGTCCTTTGATCTATAGATAAAGGATGTGTTGTCTGAGAATGTTGATTTTAATAAAGGTGGTATAATTGATATTCAAAATTCTAGCAATGATACTATCTATGATCGAGTATTAGGTTAGACTTAAGGTGGTGTTTATGATAACTTCTTAAGTTAAAGTAATATTAAGGAGGGTTTATATTACCCATAATTTCTATTGTTAATCCTATTTGTCTGATAATTAAGCTAAGGTCTCTATAATATATGCTTTTTTCTTCTTAGTAACCTATAAAAGTTTATGTTTCCTTATGGATATATTGATTATATGATAAAGAGTAAGTTAACTATATTTGGTATTGTTGTATTTTGCTGATGATTGTTGCTATATTTTCTTAAATACATATTACAAATTTGTTTACTTTTTATTATTATTTGGTAATATGGAAAAATCTTGTTATTTATTGTGATGTGTTGGTAATATTTATTTCACATATATATTATGATAATATTATTGATATTGTTAATTAGTCAATAGTAAACATATGGAGTTATGGGATTATTGATAATTGATTTACATAAACCTATAGAAAATGTATTAATGTTATTTATTTGATACATCTTTTGAGCTTGTGAAAAGTATATTTATCTGTATTTACATGATATAATATTATTGAAATACCATTGTTGTGATATGTATGCTTCTTTATTGTATAGTTAATAAAACTTGAATGTCCTTCTAGATTTTATGAGTATTTGGACTTGAACTGATTTATCAGTTTGAATTATTACTTGTAAAGCTTCTCTTGGTATTTAGAAAGGTGTTAATCTGTATTGGCCTGGCTAGAAGCTTTATGAGATTGATGTTGAGCTTTCAAGAGTTTACTATAATTCAGTTTTTCTTATTATTTTTCTTTCTAAAAGAAAAAATTTATATAGTAGAAGTTAGTAATTTTGTAAAACTTATCTTTTCTGCACCCTGTAAAGAGTTCTTTAACTTGTTTTTGTAAGTTGTTTAGTTGTAAAGATGATTTCCCTTATTTTTTTTGGCTGGTTTCTTTTTTTCTTAAAAAAATTATTAAAAAAGAAAATTTTCTGAAAAATTGGAGATCAGCAAAAAGAGCAATAATAAAACAATAATTTATATTAATAACTATAGATAAAATAATAATAATAATAATTTTTTTTTAATAATTCTCAAAATTACTTTTGAATTTAAATTATTATTTTAAATAAAATTATTTATTAAACAATTAAAGTAAATTAATGATTATTATAATAAATAAAAATTATCATAACTTATCTAATTATTATATGGAAATAGAATTTCCTATTAAATTCTGGAAGAACTGAATCAAGAAAAAATAGAAAGAAAAGAAGAAAAAGACTATATAGAAATTATTAAGAAATAGGTTTATCATGAAATCAAATGGTTTGATTTTTAACTATAGACAAAATTTAGAATGATCTACAATAATGACCTATAGATAATGATTTTACTAATTTAAGGACTTATCCAAATCAGCAAAGTAAAATATTATTTCCTAAGTTGCATCTATAGAAATAGTTTTTTGATGATGAATGAGTTAGTATGTGAAAGTCACAATATTTTGTAAATATCTAGCATATATACAATAAAGACATGCCGTGCAGACTTGACTGTGGGTTAAAAAAAAAGAATCCACTGCTAAATCCACATAATGATTATTCCGGTGAATAAAAACACATGCATAACTTGTATAATTACATAATGATTTAGATAAATAGATTAAATAATGCTTTATTTATTGATATTATTGCTATATAAATTTTAATTGATAGTTAAGCTGCTTAAACAGCTATAGACAATCGCATTCTAAACACAATAAGGTATTGCGAAATTAAATCAATCCGAAGTGCTCGGGTCCCATCCTGTAAAAAAATATGTTAGATAGCGAAAATAAAGAGAATAAAAATTTTTGGGTATACCTCCAGCAACAAAGCGTTCATCCAAACAATTAAGAGTTTTCATATCCCCTTCTTCAATTACAAAATCGTATACCTCGGTATTATAAATTATATGACCTTCATTTGTGCTCTTTGGTAACACGACAAAATTATTTTGAAGGCCCTGTTAATAAAGTTCAATTTGGTACTTTTATATTATACAAACATTGAAGGCATCATTCATTGAAAAAATAGGATTGCATATAGATTCTCACCCAACGGATCAAAATTTGAGCAGCAGACTTGTTATATTTTTCAGCAATGTCAACAAGAACACGATCATTCAATTTTTTTCCTCTGGTAAGTGGAGCAAATGCTTCCACGATTATATTATGTTCAGTACAATACGACACAATATCATTTCGAGTATTCCAAGGATGAACCTAATATTAAAAATATATTTTTAAAGGAATTGCGATAAATAAAATACAACACTTGTTTTACCTCGATCTGATTGACCGCAGGCATAATCTCAGGATTGCTATCCATTAACTCCTTCAAATGTTTAACTCCATAATTTGAGACCCCAATACTTTTAACTTTTCCTTGCTTAACTAATTCTTGCAAAGCCCTATAGGTTTCAGCGCGTTTTTGCGGACCAGGTCTAGGAGAATGTACAAGCAATAAATCGATATAAGAAGTTCTAAGTTTCGATAAGGAAGTCTCCGAGGCTTTGAGTGTTGATTCATAACCTTGATCTGCATTATCATTTAAATTTCATAAAATAAAATAAAAAATAACTTATATTTCGCAATAAGTAGCAATTAGGGATTAAGCCCGTTTAAAATCCACGAAGCGTTACACTCCTAACGTGATTTTTGTTATATCTCATACCCATATCCCAAACTTTTGTGGTGATGAAGAGTTGGTCACGCGGGATTCCACTATGAAGGTAAAGATTAATGAAGTTGCAAAGGCTATATAAAGGCGTTCCGTATATGAATGTTTACCTTTTAATAATACCAGTTCCAATGTCTTCCTCGTTACCGTACCGAGATGCTGTATCAATATGCCTATATCCAGACTAAGTGATGTTGAAAAGTTTTTATCTTTAGAGCTAACTATCAAAGATCACACGTGCAGTATATATACCCTCAGAGCCCATAAAATAATATTCTGTGTAAGTTCACCTTGGGGAGCTGCAGTGCCATCGCCCACTCCGCCCATTCCTATGGCTTCCATTTTATAAATAATTAATTGATATTCGACATTTTTTACCGAAAGATAATTCATTATTATCCGGTGAGTTACCTAGTAATGGAATTTTATTGCAGTCATTCATTGTAGCAGTTGAAACCAGTGATAGCTTTGAATTCATAATTTAAGGTCACAAAACATGAAATTGAAATGGTGAGCGCGTCCTTAAATGGGATTTTTTTTTTTAATTCCGCATTCTTACGATATACAGTGTGGGACAAAAAAAAATCGTCTTATTTTTTAATTTATTTAAATTAAAATATAAATATTAATTAATTACTATATTGATTGTTTTTAATTTTACAAATATTGAATTAAACAATATACTGTAAGAAAAAAAAAGTAAAATAAATAAATATATATATTATAAAAACTAAAAATAAAAAAATAAAATAAAAATATTTTTATTTTATTTTATTTATTAACACTAGTCAAAAAATATTTATTTGGCATAATTTCACTCATTAAAAAATAAATAATTTGGCATATTAATGACTTATATAAATTATCAATCAATTTTTATTAAATTATTCAGTATAAATAAATTATCAATCTATTTTTACTATATAATTCAACATTTTTAATTACATATTATATTTATGATTTAAAAAAATTATAATAGTTGATCCTCTGATCACACACAAAAAAGATATTCGCAAGAAGTTTTCATACTTCTTTGCTAATAAAGTCTTAATACTTTCCTTAAAACAACTTGAAGTATGACTTCAAGAG